TGATGTGACCATAAACTGATCCCTGAAAAGATCTGCAATTTGCTTCATGTCACTAACTGTCAAACGTTGAGTTTATTCGTGGTTTTCCAAAACTTCTTAAGAGTCTTGTTTTGAATGATAAGTAGTCAATTTATCAATTTTTATTTGATTCTATGCTTTCTCATAGTCCGCAAATGTAAGAAACAGGAGCTGAATATACTCTGTTGTCTTCTGTATTATTTGCCACATTGTGTGAATGTGGTCTATATTGCAAAAATCAAGTCGTCGAATCTTCGCGCGAGTCGATTTGTGATGATCTACGAAAACAACTTATAGACGTGGCTCAGAATCGAGATGGGTCTATAATTTTTCAGCATAGTCTTGTCACCTTTTTTGTGAAACAAGACTGTGATGCTTCTGCTCCACGCCATTGGAGTTCTCCCATCACGTAAGATGCAGTTAAAAACATGACAGAGCACTTTTAGCAAGGGTTGACTCCCAGCCTTTAGAAGGCCAGCTCAATTTCCCTAAGGCAGATGTCTGGCAACTCGTCGGTATAGTGGCGGGTCAGCGTGGCTCTGGCATCATCTTTCATCGCATTTAGGGTCAGGTTGTGGCTTATGTGAGGCGTATAGTTTGCCATAATGTGTTCGATCTCCAAAGAAACCTCAGACTTTGACGTGAGAACTTTGCCATCATGTGTCTAGAGTTTTGCTATGTGACTTCTTCCAAACTCCCGTGCATAGATTTTGGAGCCCTTGTTCCGCTCTATTGCCGCGTGTATAGCAATTGCATTAGAGCGATGCAGGTCCCGCCTCACAGATTGATGTGTCTCATCAGTGATATTTGTCAACTTGGCGGAAAAAGTCTTGCCTGTTAGAGCTTTCACTGCGTGCGCTGTATTAATAGCTAAAGTTGCATGAAAATAATGTATGGCTGAATTGTTCCTCCTAAAAATTTCTAAAAAAAAGTCCGCGGCAGCATATGTCTATCTTCTAAGGATAACTCACTATAACCTTTTTTATCACTATAACGATTTTTATTAAAAAAAAACTCGTATGATAAGAAATAATAATTAGTATATTATGAAGGCGGTCGGCGCGGCGCGCGGTGCGATGATGAGGAAAGGGGCTGCGACATGCGGAGGGGGAGAAAACGTGTCAAAGTGAGCAACCTGAACGGGCAGACGTTGTTGACGGTCATGTTAAATTTGCGAATTTGCATTTTAGTGCGGCTTATCACATAATTGAATTTAATAATACTTAGGCGCTGTCCTATTGCCATCGCTCGCACGATGATGCGATGCGATTTCGTCGTCCGATGAATGCGCTCGCGCGATTTCTTCAGTCGCATCGCATGATCGCACGACGTTCAATAGGACAGTCCGTAGATATGAGTATGTTTGAGCGCACGGTCGCACGATCATTTTCGTCGGACGCAACGCATGATCGCGCGAGCAATGGCAATAGGACAGCGCCTTAGTGTTTATTTCTGTCTGAACATACTGCATGCAAATTCAGCACGTAACGAGACTGTCACATGCATGCAGTTTTTTGCGTATTCTTATGATTACAGAAGACAGATTGAATACGTTACATCATTTCAGAAATTTATTTAACCAATATTTAGTTGATATGATGACCAAGATGATAGCTGAACAATTTAATTTTATTCGCAGAAACCAAACTAAACTAAGAGCTGAAAACTACATCCATCTAAGAGATACTGTAAATCAAGATCAGAACGTGAATGCGCAAAATATTGGCCAATACTTAATATCAACCAGAACATTCACAGGTTCTCCCAGATATAGGTATGCACGAAAAGACGCAATATGCAATGACATACGTCTATAACTTTGGTAGACCTGACTTGTTTAAAACGTTCACGTGTAATCCCGAATAGCCAGAAATTAAAAGGGAATTATTCCCCGGGCAAAGATAAAACGATAGGCATGACATTGTGGCACGTGTCTTTAATTTAAAGGTAAAAAAACTTATGAAACTTTTAACGAAAACCGCCATTTTCACAAAGGCTTACATATTTAGCATTGAATGGCAGAAAAGGGGATTACCTCATGTGCATATTTCGTTATGGCTTGGAACCAAAATAAAACCGGACGAAATTGATAATATAATATCTGTAGAGCTTCCAGATCCACAGCGGGATTCCTTATTATTTGATATCCTGGTTAAAAATATAATTCATGGCCCATGTGGAAAACATAAAAATAGAAGACAAAATTTATCTTTTAAGTGAAAAGATATTAGGAGACTGGCCTGCCTAAACCGCAGAAAACCAACGAAAGCGATTCTGTAAGGATTACTACATGATTGGAACGAATTTAATGAGTACATTTGTTTTCACATACCAAATTTAGTACCGAATTAAGACCACGCTCTCACAGAATACCAGCCGAAAATAGTAGCTTAATGCTGCTGTGTTTCGTATGGTGAGTGTAGAGAACCGGAAACCCTTTTTACCGGAAACGAGGCACTCCATCTTAGTTTTTACGGGTGACAACGCATCTGCGTTTTTATTTGCAATCGAGGATAGATGTAGATGTCTGTAATATTGTGCGCTCCTGGGTGTTTAAATAAAAGGCATGTTACGTGTAAGACGGCCCAAAGTATATTGTCAGGAAAGCAGGTTGGAATTTATGTCCTAACATACAGTTCGCACGCGAAGGGGGGATTACCGCGTAAGCCGAATTCTACACGTCCGTGGGAGCGAGTCCACATTTCCACACCCGTGGGACTATTTTATTGCTTACTTAATTTTTATCACATTACATGTCTATGGACCGCAGCAACCACTTACCATCAGGTGGACTGTGTGCTCGTTTGTTACAAAAAAATTGCGTTGAAAAAAAAGGCTTTTAATTATTTTTTATCGACGCACCCGGTGGAACTGGAAAAACTTACCTAATAAATTAAATACTGGCCAAAATTCAATCAACTGAACTGGCTCTTGCGGTGGCTTCTTCCGGTATAGCCGCGACTTATCTTAGTGGTGGAAAAACTGCCTTTGAGTTCTCTCCTGAAAGAATTCGTATGTTCTTCAGACTTCTTCAAGATGTCCGTCTCATAATGTGGGACGAATGTACGATGAGGCACTGCTCACATATAGAAACTGTAGACAGAACTCTAAAAGACCTAAGATAAAATTATGGGAGGAGTCACTTTCGTTTTAGCCGGTGACTTTCGTCAAACTCTTCCCGGCGTGTCTAAAGGAAAACGTGCAGATGTACTTAAAGCCTGCTAATAAATAGGTTAGGAAAGTCTATTCCATGTTTCAATGATTTTATTCTGAATGTGAAACCCAGGAATTGAGAATATTTCTCAAAAAGATTACACATGGATGTGCGAGAGTAGTTTCGCCACGAAATTCTTCTGTTGATCATATCAATGAACAAATATTAGAAAAAATACCAGTAATCAAGAATATATATAAATCCGTTGATACCGTATTAGATACAGAGGACGCCGTGCATTAATTACAGGAATTCCTTAACTCACTTATCCCTTCAGGACTTCCCCCTCATACCCTAAAAATTAAAACCGGTATTCCAATAATTTTATTGCGAAACCGGAATCCGCCTAATCTGTGCAATCGCACTAGACTTCAAGTAAAATTGCTACGTAATAATGTGATTGAGAGCATTATTCTTACAGGACCAGCGGCAGGTCCATTGACTCATATTCCCGCATTCCCAAGATCCCTATTATCTTTCCAATTTAAGCGAATAGTTTCCAATAAAATTTTATTTCGCCATCATCATCAACAAATCCCAAGGCCAAACATACAAACATATTGGTTTTGACGTAAAGGAAGGTGAAGGAAAACATCGTGAGGAAATCTGCATGTTGAGGAATAACAAAAAAAAATTTCTAAGACATGTGAAGTTCGCCAACACGCATTGGGGTAGTGCGGTGGACACTTCCTTGCCCTAAAACCCTCTCAGAAATGAGGGGAGGCCTGTGCCCAGCAGTAGGACATATATAGGCTGTAACTTTACTTTACTTTACTTTTTACTAAGCTAAATCTGAAATATATTATACCTATTTAAGTAATTGTTCAACCCGGGCAAAGCCGGCGGGCGGCTAGTTCTAAATTAAACTTAATTGAAGCCTCTTGGTTTAAACTTCTAGCACCCCAAAACTTCTATAAATGAGAACAATCTGTATGAAATGTATTATTTATCCATAATACCCCAAAAGGCCTAAAGAAAACAAAACAGTACAAATATTTGGGTTTGATTAAATTAACTAAATATTTTTAGCAATAAAAGTTTTTATTGTCACAAACTAAACACCAAAATGTGCTCTTCATAAACATTAAGATTACAATTTTGCTTATATTAATACTTAGTGCATTCTATAAAGTTACAAATATTTTAACTAATAGTTCAAAGATAATTCTTATAGTTCTTGAAGTGCATATCATATATGCTTGTCACCTCAATTTACTGCCACTAGGTATACCATAATCAAAAACAATGAAATCTTATTTCATAATATTCAATATAAAGTAAATAACCTGAGTTTTGATATACATGTTCAAGTCATGGTTTAAAGCATAATGATATAAACAACCATTAGATATAAGTTACTCAGAGGATAAAATACAATACAAACAAAATTAAAGACTATGGTTGTATGAATAAAATAATTCAATTGTCTTTTTTATTTAGTCAGGTTATAATTTATTTGATGAATAACTTTTATCTGAGAATAAAAAAATCAGTCTCAAAATTCATCGATTCAAACTTAAATATAGTTGAGTAGAAAGTAACCAAAATAAGATCTTAGGGAGTTTATTATACATTAAATACGCTAAAAAAATCTTATACACATGGACAAAGGTTATTTCCAACCGTAGAAGCCAGGACAGGTTTGCCAATGATCATTCCTCTCACATCGCCTAACGGCATCCTCCAGTTGTACTGCTAGAAACTTCTGTGTTAGTTAGATTACATACATATATCACAAATGAGGGTGTGAAAATTGTATGAAACATAATTAAACTCTACAAGCACATTCTGAAGGTGCCCTTGCAGGTTTCTTCGGTGCAGTCAATCTTTTGGCTGTGCCAGTTCCATATTGAATACCAGAACCTATCCTCTCTGGATCTAATTCACCTGTTTCGATCTTTGCAAGAATAGTTTTTGAGCACTTTAAAAATGCCTCTTCAACATTTTCTCCTGTTTTAGCACTAGTCTCAAGGAACATCAATTCTGAAACAAACAGAAATGTATAAACCTACAATATAATTAAGTAAACAAAACAAACAGCTTTAAAACATCTTACCATTTTCCTGAGCAAACTGACTAGCTTCGGTGAATGTCACTTCTCGAGATTCTTCTATATCTTTTTTGTTACCAACCAGTAATATCACTATGTTAGGACTAGCTAAAGTTCTTGCATCTCTTAACCAATTGGATAGAGCATTAAAAGATCCCTAGATGTTATATCATACACTAATAATGCACCTGCTGCTCCTCTGTAATATGACCGTGTTACTGAGCGGAACCTCTCCTGACCAGCTGTATCCCATATTTGTAACTTTGTCGATTTACCGCCTATATTCACTATCTTAGAACCAAACTCAACACCGATAGTGTGGCACCTATCTTCTTTGACTAAAACGAAATACCGATTTATTTAGATAATGTTTTAATTTCAATATACTTTATACATATACAGTAATAACCCTATAACATATTATTACACTTATATGGCTTATTTTATATTGATTTCATGTAGGTACTCACATTTGTTACCAATAAAATTATTAAGTAGGCTTGATTTTCCTGTACCAGCACTTCCGATCACTAAAAACTTAAATAAATATTCTGAAACAAAGTGAGAAAAGTATTGTTTTCTAAGGCGTATTTCCAGGTGGAATAATAATTTATTCCAACTAAAAATACGCCATAGGGTATCACAAAACCGTAATGTGTACCGTATGTTTCGGACATGATTATCCTTTTCTAAACTTCATTAAATCACCGTTTTCACGAATAAATAGTCAAATATTGCTTTGCAAAATTTAGCTCTAACGATTCTGGAAAATCTAAACTGCTACAAACAAGAAAGACTTTTAAATTGTTATTTTATTTCGTGTTCAGCTGTCTTTAGCTTTAGTGGTAAGTGGTTGCAAAATTTAGCTCTAACGATTCTGGAAAATCTAAACTGCTACAAACAAGAAAGACTTTTAAATTGTTATTTTATTTCGTGTTCAGCTGTCTTTAGTAAGTTTAGTTGTAAGTGGTTGGTATGAAAACAACCATTGTTGCCAGAATTTTTTTCACCTTCCCCCGTAGCTTTTTCCAAAAAACCCCTAGTTTCTCTATGTAGGGGGATAAAAAACCTCTGAATTTTTATACGGTCAAGTTTCGTGTGAATCAGATTTATCAAAAATAAAAAGTTTCTACTAGATACAAGCTACGTACTTGGACCATTCAACCTAATGGACGAGTAATGCGCCTAATGCTACGAACAAAAAAGTCTGTCATTTTTGGTGCGGGGGGAAGAAACACTACATAGACAGTACTACAGGTGTGCAATAAAATTGTTCAATAAAATTTTGTGTCACTAAGGCAAAAAACAACAAAACAAAACACACAAATCTAAATCTCCAACACTATTACATTTTATATGTAGGTTAAATACATCAATATAGAAAAAGTTACAAAATTCTATAATAATAAGATAAAATATATAAGACGGACAAATTAATTGTGATACTACCATATCGATAATGAATTGTTGGCATTGTCTGTTTTGAACAAGAATTCGGAAGTTGGTAAGACTATTGAAAAACCTTCAGAAAAACCTCTAAAAAACCTCAACGTCCTCCAGAAACCCCTAGATTGAGGAAAAACCTCTAGACCTGGCAACACTGAAAACATCATAGTAGGGGTAGGCATGCATGTCGATCTGAAATCGATTAATTGAAACATCGGTTATCTCGAGTAACAAAATCGACTTTTCAGGTCGATTTGGAATTGGAACACTATATCGATCCAGTGTATCGATTCAAAAACCTCTTGAATCAAACTGAATCAAGAAGTAACGATAAAATTTCTGAACTGGCTACGGTATCTTAATTTTTAAATTTTTTTGCTGTTGTCAGACGCAAAAATAACCAGTCGTACTTGGTTGATAATTTGAACGCAACAAATAAATATTTATAAACGTATCCAAATATGTCGTTACTTACGTTTTTTATTAAATAAGGGTGACAAACGAGCACACAGTCAATCAGTTGGTAAGTAGGTGTGGTGGCTCATAGACATCTACATTTATCCTCGATTAATAATCAATAAGCGTATGCGTTGTCACCTCTGAGGACGCTACCACGTGTAATATATGTTAGTTGCTCCTTCCTATTAAAAAATTGATTGACCCTCCAGGTCATGCTTTGGAATTTCCGGTAATTTCAATATCAAAGAGTTTAAAATACCATTTATTATCACGTTTTGCCGTGTAGTGGCGGTTAAGAATATCCACTACCCCATATCTTCCCGTGGGTGTCGTAAAAGGCGACAGAGGGAAACAGGCAGGAGATGGGCAGCAGCATCTTCCTGATAACAGCAACTGTACGACAAAAAAAAACTGCGGTTGCCAACCCGCTCGCCAAGCGTGGCAACTATGGCAATATACCCCCCATGAACAATTACACAAATAGACGGCCCCCAGTCCCCGGCGGCCCCGCTATTCCTGGCTACGGTGGCGACCATGGTAACGGCGGGGCAGGGGGTGCTAAGAATCTCCGGTGGAGGTTCGGTTGCCACCTACGACGACTCGACCTGGCAACATTTAACGCACGCACACTGAGGACTGATGAGAAGATCCTGGAGCTGGAAGAAGAGATAGACAAGTTGCGCTGGAGTATTATAGGATTATCCGAGGTCCGAAGAGAGGGGGAGGACACGGTGATTCTCGAATCCGGCAACTTGTTCTATCACCGGGAGGGCGACCATCTGTCCCAAGGAGGTGTCGGATTTATCGTCCACAAGTCTCTCGTCAACAACGTTGTAAAGATTGGGAGTGTGTCGACGAGGGTCGCGTACCTGATACTCAGAATCACCAAACGGTATTCGCTGAAGGTCATACAGGTTTACGCACCAACGTCGGCACATTCCGATGAGGAGGTGGAGGAAATGTATGAGGATATTTCCAAAGCCATGCATTCCTCCAAAACCCACTACACGGTGTTGATGGGAGACTTCAACGCAAAACTAGGCACAAGAGAAAGCGGTGAGCTGAAGTTAGGGAAATTTGGAGTAGGGCAACGGAACGGAAGGGGCCAGCAGCTGGCCGACTTTATGGAGAAAGAGGGACTCTTTATGATGAACTCTTTCTTCCAGAAGCGGCCCCACAGGAAGTGGACCTGGTCGAGCCCCGACGGTTCGACAAAAAACGAGATTGACTTCATTATGACGACCAGACGCCAACTGTTCAGTGATGTCTCAGTGATCGCAAGGGTGAAAACTGGCAGCGATCACCGAATGGTTAGAGGCACACTGAACCTAAACGTTAAGTTGGAGAGGTCTCGTCTAATGAAGTCAACGCTCCGTCCCCCCTCGTGCTCTAATCCAGAATCCCGAAAACTTTCAGCTCGAGTTACACAACCGCTTTCAGTGCCTACAAGATTGCAATGCAGTGGACGATATGAATGACAAGCTCGTGGAAACTGTCCATGCGGTCGGAGCTAAGTTCTGCAAGACCCGCCGCAGAAGAACACAAAAACTCTCCGATCACACTCTTAATCTCATGGCTGTTAGACGGGAGATGAGGCTGCAATCGTCAACAGATTTGACAGCATACAGGCAACTGAACAGACAGATCTCCAAATGCATGCGGCGAGACTTACGCAACTTTAATACTGCTCGTATTAAAGAAGCGATCGAGCGGAACCAGGGCTCCAAAGTCTTTGCCAGAGATCTGTCTGCCCGTAAGAGCCAACTATCAAGGCTGAAGACTGAGTGTGGCAGCATCGTTTCCGGGACACCTGAGATTTTGAGTGAGATTGAGAGGTTCTATGGGCAGCTGTACACATCATCGTTGGAGCCACACGCAAGTGTGAGTAACGATCCAAGAGCAAGTCTTATCCGACACTATTCCGATGATATCCCGGACGTCAGTCTGAGCGAGATTAGAATGGCTCTCCAGCACCTTTAAAACGGCGGGGCCCCAGGCGAGGACGGAATTACAGCGGAGCTTCTGAAATCGGGTGGAACACCGGTACTTGAAGTCCTTCAGAAGCTCTTCAATTCCGTCCTCCATGGTGGCACTACTCCAGAGGCGTGGAGCAGAAGTGCAGTGGTCTTGTTCTTTAAGAAAGGCGACAACGCTCTCTTGAAGAACTACAGACCGATTTCCCTTCTGAGCCGCGTCTACGTGCTGTTTTCGAGAGTCATTACGAATCGTCTCGCACGCAGACTCGACGACTTCCAGCCTCCCGAACAAGCCGGTTTCCGAAAAGGCTTCAGTACCATAGACCACATACATACCCTGCGGCAGATTGTACAGAAGACTGAAGAGTACAATTTGCCACTTTGCCTGGCGTACGTGGACTATGAGAAAGCCTTTGATTCCGTCGAAATTTGGGCGGTGCTGCAGTCCCTTCAGCGGTGTCAAGTTGACTGTCGGTATATCGAAGTGCTGAAGTGTTTGTACAGTAGGGCTACGATGGCTATCCGAGTACAGAACCAGAGCTCGAAACCTATCCAACTGCAGAGAGGTGTAAGACAGGGTGACGTTATATCCCCGAAACTCTTCACCGCTGCTTTGGAAGACGTTTTCAAGCTACTGGACTGGAAAGGATATGGTATTAACATCAATGGCGAGTACATCACTCACCTTCGATTTGCCGACGATATAGTCCTTATGGCAGAATCGCTGGAGGACTTAAGCACTATGCTCAATGACCTCAATAGTGCCTCCCAACGGATAGGTCTTAAGATGAACATGGACAAAACAAAGATCATGTTTAATGTCCATGTCACACCTATGCCGGTAGTTGTTGGGAGCACTATGCTCGAAGTTGTTGACGAGTACGTTTACCTGGGACAAATAGTCCGACTAGGTAAGTCCAACTTCGACCGAGAGGTCAATCGACGGATTCAACTCGGCTGGGCAGCGTTCGGGAAATTACGACACATCTTCTCGTCAGGTATACCTCAATCTCTGAAAACTAAAGTGTACAACCAGTGCGTGTTGCCAGTGATGACTTACGGATCAGAGATGTGGTCCTTCACTGCTGGCCGTATGAGGACGCTCAAGATCGCTCAGCGAGCTATGGAGAGGGCTATGCTCGGAGTTTCTCTGCGTGATAGACTCAGAAATGAGGATATCCGCAGTAAAACCAGAGTGACCGACATAGCCCAACGGATTAGTAAGCTGAAGTGGCAATGGGCCGGCCATATAGCTCGAAGAACCGATAACCGATGGGGAAGAAAGGTTCTCGAGTGGCAGCCTCGTACCGGTAGGCGTAGTGTAGGGCGACCCCCACTAGATGGAGTGACGACCTGGTAAGATATGCAGGAAGTCGATGGATGCAGGTGGCTCAGGACCGTGCTTTGTGGCATTACTTGGGGGAGGCCTATGTTCAGCAGTGGACTTGTGAAGGGCTGTGATGATGATGATGATCACGTTTTGAGCTCGAATACCTGGAAAACTACGTTTGTTTCCTTTGTTCAAAATAGAATATTTCACGAACCAATCAACCGATGTTGGTGTAATTTAAATTTTCTAGTTTAACATAACATTAACATTTTAATATTTCACATTTCACTTCTAAGAACTGCCAGGGGACATTCAAAACAGCCTATGATGAATGCTATAAGAGACGAGAATGGCTATATTCTGAATGATGAAGTTTTGAGTTTAAAGAGATGGAAGGAATATTTTGAAAGCGTGTTTATGAGTGAGGAGACAACGTGTGTACTAAGTGAAGTAGAAACACCGAAAGAAGAGGAAAGAGGTAGCGAGATAAGTATAGATGAAATAATGAAAGCAATGAAAAGCATGAAAGCAGGTAAGTCTGCCGGATATGATAGAGTTTCACTCGAAATGCTAAGGGATGGAGAGGAAGTAGTGGCAGGCCTGCTGCACACCTTGTTTAATTTATGCTGGGAACTGAAGCGGGTACCGGTAGACTGGTGCAAAGCCGTGATAGTCCCAGTATATAAAGGAAGAGGATCTGCAGGAGGACTGTAAAAACGACCGTGGCATCAGCCTTCTTAGCATTGTGGGAAAACTGTATGTCTTTTCCATGCGCATGATCGCGGAGAAGTTTCTGGCCAAAAACCAAAAGGTTTTTTGTGCGTTCATGGACTTGGAAAAGGCCTATGTCGGAGTGGATAGGGATTTGCTATGGCAAACACTGAACTCATTTGGGTTGAGCGCTGGCTTGATACAGGCATTGGAGTCTCTTTATAGGGACTCTAGTGCTTGTGTTAGGATCAACGGGGTCTACTCGGACTGGTTTGACATCCATAAAGGTGTCAGACAGGGCTGTGTGGCTTCCCCGTGGCTGTTCAACCTATTTATGGACAGTTGTTTGCAAAATTTGAAAGTTGAAGAATGCGGATTAAGAATGGGTGAGTTAACCGTCAAATGCCTTTTGTACGCTGATCAAAACAAGGCTGTCAAAGTAATTTCAAGAAAACTACTTTTTGAAAATTAAAAATACACGAATTCTTGAGGTTTTTCTCAGAATCAACCGAAATGATTAGGTCTAAATTCATAGAAATCGTTCAGCAAGGCTCTTTCAGATGCCGAAAACCACTTTTCGATTGGACACTCCGTTACAAAGTTACGAGAAGTTTATATGTCATAATACATACATTTACACACATTAATGTATACGTACAGACATATGGACATCATTGCAAAAATGGTAAGAACAGCTTACTAGGACCTCGAAACGTCGAGATCTGATGAGAACTCGATTTACAAAAACCGGGTAAAAAAAACTTCCCTATTTTTTGAAATTCACAGATAGTGGGAAGTTAAAAAGTTATCACATGTCATTGTCGTGATGCATGTCGACTTACTTGAAATAAAATCAATAGTGGGGATCGATTTTATTTGAAGTGAGTCGACATGCCTACGTCATAGGTAAATAAATATGTAGCAAGCAAATAATACAGATTACTATAAACTCAGTGCTGTCAACTCCAAAAAAAATTCAGGATAAGTCAAAAACCCACCTTATTTAATTAAATAAAATTACCTTATTTAATTGGAAATCCCCTAAAAATAAGTACAATGCTGTAATGTTCTTTATATATACATTATTTAATATTTCAAAAATTATTTTGTTTTCTTCAGATGATTGCGATATTTTAAAATCATAGGTACATTTGGATATTAGACCAAAAGACAGATTAGACCAAGAGACATGCTCGTCGGTTAAGTCCTAATTTGGCCCGTTTTCAATAAATCGCCAATTTGGTCGATAAATTTTCGCCTAGGACGTCCCTTTCCGACTCTGCCATTCACTTCTGCAACATAAATTTTCTTTGTCACTCTTTCCTCATTCATGCTTTCCACATGACCAACCCACCGAAGCATTCCTTTCTTAATCCTGGTCACAACATCATCTTGCATACCACATTTATCTCTTATCATGCAATTTCTCATCCTGTCATTCAGATTCAGCCCTAGCATACTCCTTAAGGACCGCATTTCTACTGCGTTGATTCTACTCTCTTGCTTCTTCTGCCACACCCAACTTTCACTACCATACGTTAAAGTAGGGACCAACACAGCATTGTGAATTGCCATACGTGCTTTTTTGACACATTTTGACTCTTCACAATAGAGTGCAGGGCCCCATTTACTCTATTTCCCGCATTCACTCGTCGTTCTATATCTTTATCATATCTCCCATCCCTGCTAAATACGCAGCCCAAATATACAAACTCATCTACTTGCTCGATCAACTCCCCTTCTATTCTTATTTCACAAATCGTTTTACTTTCTTCTCTTTCAAAAAACATAACCTTCGTCTTATTTGCGTTCACTTTCATACCCTTTTATTTTAATGATCTGTTCATTAATGTAACCATCATTTGCAACTCGGCCGCCGACGACGCAAGGATAACTGTAATAATAAATGTGAATAAAAAAGATTGTTATTTTATTTTTATTATTTCCTTATGTTATTTTATAAGGTCGTCACTCCATCTAGTGGGGGGTCGCCCTACACTTCGCCTACCCGTACGAGGCTGCCACTCGAGAACCTTTCTTCCCCATCGAATTAATTAACGATGTTTTATAAAATATAATTAATTAAATTATATTATATTACCGGCGGACGAAGTGTAGGGCGTCGCCCCACTAGATGAAGTGACGACCTGGTAAGACATGCAGGAAGTCGATGGATGCAGGTGGCTCAGGACCGTGCTTTGTGGCATTCCTAGGGGGAGGCGTATGAGTTCAGTGGACTTATGAAAGGCTGTAATGATGATGATGATCATGATTTTATAAGGGATGTAAAGACAGCCTCCCGAAAACTAACCATAAACTCATCATGACCATCATCCTGAGCAAGCTACTGAAGGAATATAAAACTTATTAAAAATGATGTTCATTTATAAATTAAAATTTTATAAATAAATATAATTTTTAATAAATATATATATATATATATATATATATATATATAAATTTATTGTATTTAGTTACTTAAGTCACCTGCCACTAATTTCGCACCACGCCATGGGTTGACTAGCAAAGAACGCTAACTGGTATTAAGTCCGCCCTTTGTAACCTTTTTTATTGGTTTGAACAATAAAGTTTTTAAATAAAAATAATGAACATAAACTTTTTTCATAATATCCCAAATTCTTGTGTTTTGTGTTCACCCTAATTAGAAAGAGACTGAGGGGAAATGAAAAATTTCAAGGTCGTTTTCTTGTATTTTTTATGTCATTCGAGAGTGCGGGTTCCAGTTTGTACGAAGTACATGTATTTCCATGCGGTCTACGATATCAATCCAGTATATAGTGATCTGTGATATCAATCACGGAGTACTTTTTGTATACCTGAAAATATGGATATCATCATTTCTGTATATATTACTCTACTCTATGCATCATTTTAAATTACCCTATTTGTGAGTTTTGGCGCGAACTTGGCCGTAGACGGATTGTCGCCCCTGTTTTGTCGCTTGAATAATGGTTTGAAGTGGATTTTAATTCGTAAAAGTGATGCAATTTTGTGAATTAACTGTCCGTGCGTGCGAACAATTAGAGAAAACGACGAAACAAGTACTTTGATGTCGATATAAACTTCAAGTTATTTTGATCGCTTAGGCGCCTTATGAACTTGAGTGGCTGTCGTCATCAACTGTCCGCTGGGTTGAGCTGTCGTCAAAATCTCCCAAAGGTTTCGCAATGTGACGCATCAGCATATTGTGAAGAAAAAAATATAAAAATGAAGATTTAATTTAGGAGGTCCGGGGGAAGGTTTGACTGAAAGAAATGATAGGCTCAGAATGGCTTGAACCCAGAGCCGTAAAGCCAGTTAATAAAAAAATTGGCCTATTTGTTTACATCAGTTTACATTTGTCGAAGTAGTTAAATAACTAGTTATTTTTGTCCATTTCTTCATGAAATTGCTACGCATTACTAAAAAAAGTACTTTGTGACTGTGACACATTACGCACATAAAAAGAATGCAGCGATGTGTAAGTAAAATAATCTTAAATCTGTTTAGAAGGTAGAACCGTAATATGGAAAATTAAACACTTTTCATTTTACAGATTTTATCTTCACCTGCGCAAAAGATGTTCTTGCCCCGAACAGGTCAAACAAGATTTTTTTGGGAATATGTGAATATGATGTTTAATAAACCAGACCCTGAACGGATAAAGGCTGTTGGTCCAGACCGAGCTTGTGCAGAATGGGTACTTAGAAATGGTGGAAAAGTAACATGGGTTGGTGGCAAGAAACTATCGGACTATAACCTATTACCACCAGAGGGAAATAAAGTGGCAAAGTTATTAGAAATTGATGGTTCTGATTCATCTATATCACACTATGGTTTCCCTCACTTAGGTAAATTAAATTTCTTTGAGGATTACTACAAAATTTTGTAATATTTAAGTAATATTTTTAAAATTATCTATTTTTCTAGAAGGATGTACGATGTTGAAAAATGTAGTACTTCATAATAATAAATATATTGATGATAGAGCACTAAAAGGATTGGCATATGGCAAAGACGTGGTATCTTTTGTTCAAGTCTCAAAATGCCCAAATGTCACAGATAGTGGTCTGAAGGAGATGACAGTTCTAAAAAATCTGCAAACTCTTATATTGTATGATTTAATCAGTGTGGAAAATTTAAAAGAATGTAAGCAGTTCATAAGTGCAACACTTCCAAAATGTAAAATATTAGGTAAGAATTTTGCAGGTACTAATATATTTATGTAATATATTTCTATATACAGTGTAAACTCCATGTAACATCACTTGTTTTAATGACAAATGCCCTAAAGCGTCGAAATCATGTGGCTTTGGTTGGTTTAGCTTGTCTTTTATACAATGATACACTCTATATAGCATTACACCCCCTCTCAATAATGTCATCAATTAACCTTTTCGCTGCGCAATTCGTTTTGAGATTTTGTGCCTGCTGTGCGCATTTATTTTAGTAGTTTCATCTTTATTCGTGTTGAGCAGTTTGACCATTTAAACGCTGCGAATTAATTCGTGTTGAGCTGTTTAAAGAAATTAAGTATTGCGAGTTTATTCGTGTAGAGCAGTTTATTTTTTTTAAAACATGAATAATACATAGTAAAAATAGTCGTATTGAGCAGCTAACTAATTTAAAACTAAGCGCGAAAATATTCGTCAGGAGCGTATGATACACAAGTTTTTTTTGCGAATATATACGTGTGGAGCAGCGAAAGGGTTAAATGACAAAAAGTCATAGTAGCAATTTTTTTTTTATTTTTTATCTCCTGACTCATGGTGCGAACTTGGGGTGGTGGTAGATTTTACGCCGCTACCGCATGGTGGGAAGCCTAGTCTATTTATTTTTTTCGGCTTTGTCGCTCATTTAGCACCACCCGGGGGACACGTGTATGGAGGGCCTAAGGTTTGGTGGTCGAAGCCTACGGACGCGAGCGACTCATCCCCCTATAGCACTACACTCTATTGTGAAGAACCAGAATGTATCAAAAAAGGCATGTATGGTAATTCATAATGCTGTGTTAGTCTCTACTTTAATGCATGGTAGTGAAAGCTGGGTGTGGCAGAAGAAGCACGAAAGTAGAATAAATGCTGTAGAAATGCGGTCTTTAAGGAGTATGCTAGGGTTGAATCTGAATGACAGGATGAGAAATTGCATGATAAGAGATAAATGTGGTATGCAAGATGATGTTGTGACCAGGATTAAGAAAGGAATGCTTCGGTGGTTTGGTCATGTAGAAAGAATGAATGAGGAAAGAGTGACAAAACAAATTTATATGGTAGATGTGAATGGCAGAGTCGGGAAGGGACGCCCTAGAAAAAAGTTTATCGACCAAATTGGCGATATTTTGAAAATGGGCCACATTAAAAGTACCCTTAACCGACGAGCATGTATGCGTAGATATATAGATGTAAAGGAGGCGAAAGAGGTATGTCAGGATCGTGTCAAAGGGAAGTCCGTGGTCTCTGCCTACCCCTCTGGGTGACAGGCGTGAGTGCTTATGCTTATTATCATAGTAGCAAAAATTTGTAAAAAAAGCACGGCTGTACATTGCTTTGTCACTTTATTATAGTAGCCCGTTATAAACTCGAATGTCAGCATCATACATACCAAACTCCAAAAATATGTTGTTTTGTTTACACATGTAGAATGTTGTTAGTAGGAGTCATGGATTATTTATACATTATCATATTCTTACTTGCATATAACATGCATAACAGATTATACGCAATAGCCTTCAAATAACCATTGTTTTTATGTAATTTAGTAATAATACACTGGTCTAAAATAAACATTTTCTTTTTCTAATACAGATTTTTCTTCATTCCATTTAACGACCTCTCTCTAATGTCAAAATGTGCACAGTCCCTTGAGTGCCATTAATATAGAGTTTACACTGTATATATTTCCATCCCAGGAGTAATCTTGTGTTCGATGTTCTTGCTAGCCCGGAGATGGGAACAATATTCCATGTGAGGCCGAATTTGCGCCTTGTAAAGTTTCAGGTGGTGGGTGTGCCGTCATGAAATACTGTTCCGCTCTGCTGAGCACGCAAAGCTTTTTAGAACCCAATTTGGCCTTCTCTTCCATGTGACCACGAAATTGCACATCACCCCGTATGTCAATGCCGAGGATTCCGATACTGGCTGAGGCAACAAGGGGAGTGCCTCAAAACTGAGGCGATAATACGACAAAGGCATTCTTTTTATCTGTAAACTCACATACTTGTGTCTTCTGAGGATTAAACTGGACTAGGTTAAGTCGCCCCAACCCGAGAGGACTTGATTGCAGACCCAAGTTTGTTCCGGTACTCTGCGACATTTTACCGATAAATATTGACACGGTCGTAGTACTACAGATAATCACCAGTACCGTCATCCGCATAGCATCCGTGGATGTCTGCAGGAATCTTACGCTGTATAAGAAACAGAAATAAACTTCAAAAAAACTTATGAAAAGACCCACATAATAACATTCTTCGCATTACATACAGACGGTACAGGAATTACTGTAACAATTTAATAAAAAGAATGAAAAGGCAATATGATAGAGAAAGTATTATTAAATCCTTAAATAACAATAAACTATTATGGAAAAATATAAAAAATATTACTTACAGTAATCAATCAAGAAATACTAACACTGAACTACTCAATCTGAAATCATCGCCCACTGAATCTGCAAACTTCATAAACAGCTATTTCGTAAATATAGGAATACAACTTGCCAATAAAATACAGAACGTCAATGTGACACCTAGTAGACCTATGGAAAACAATCCGGTGCCATTACACTCCTTTGTTTTACTACATACAGACATAGAAGAAGTTAAAAATATCATTTTAAACTTAAAATCAAACAGCGCTCCAGGCTGGGACAATATGACTTCATGAAATTGGCAGTCAATGACTTGGCTCCTGTTATTTCCCACTTAAATAATCTATGTTTCGATACAGGGATATTCCCAGCACCATTAAAGCAGTCCATTATTACACCTGTGTACAAGGGCGGAGACAGAGATGACATTAGTAATTACAGACCAATTTCCGTTCTACCAACAATATCTAAAATTCTGGAAAAGTTACTTAATATTAGATTACTCAATTACTTAAATAAATTTGATATATTAGCACCCACACAATTTGGCTTCAGACAAGGAAGATCGACAGAAGATGCAATTATTGAATTAAGCACATTTGTAACAGAACAACTCGACCACGGCAAAAAATGTTTGGCGGTCTTCCTTGATCTGAAGAAAGCGTTCGACACTGTCTCTGTCCCTAACCTTGTGCACAAGCTTGAAAAAATTGGAATAAGAGGGACTCCGCTTGCTCTTTTCAAAAACTACCTATCGGAGAGAAAACAGAAGGTTAAGCTTCCTGGGTTCATTAGTGGGGAAGCGGTGGTGTCATCATATGGCGTCCCACAGGGTAGCGTTCTGGGCCCGACCTTATTTCTAATTTATGTCAATGATCTGTGCAGTATGACCATACCAAATGCCAAAATCCTGTCGTACGCCGATGACACGGCTTTGGTTTTTGCTGATGAATCTTGGGAGGCTGTCAAGACTAGTGCTGAAAGTGGGCTAGCTCGAGTCGCTCTATGGTTGCAACAAAATCTCCTCACTTTGAATACAGCTAAGACAAATTTTATTTGCTTTAGCATTACCAACAACTTGCAGCCACAGAATGACTTTTGCCTTAAAATTCATATGTGTTTTGAGGATACTAAAAACAAAGCTTGTGACTGCCCATCAATTGAAAAAGTCTCTCACACTAAATATCTGGGCGTCGTTATAGATCAGAGGCTGTCGTGGTACCCACACCTTGAACATGTCATTAATAGGACCCGAAAATTGATTTGGATTTTCAAAACTCTAAGACACGTAATACCTGATAGTACTAAGCAATCGGACTCTCCCAGATATCTTCTTAACCAAATATACATGTCCCTTGCACAATCTATCATAACATATTGCATTTCGGTGTGGGGTGGAGCTACAAAGACCAAATTTCTTAACTTGGAAAGAGCCCAACGAACCCTTATTAAGGTCATGTATTTTAAAAAAAGACGTTTTTCCACTGAACAACTGTATAGAATAAGTAGTTTACTCTCAGTTAGACAATTATATGTTACTATGACAATCCTCAAAGCACACAAATCCCTGTCCTTTGACCCAAGCATCTTGAAAAAGCGGCGAAAAGATATTGTGGTTAAGCCTTCTGGTACCAAAACAGTTTTTGCTAGTAGGCAATTTAGCTCATGTTCTGCATTCCTATAAAATAAAATAAATAGAGAATTGAACATATACAACAAAACGTACAGGGAGTGTAAAAACCTGATACTTAAGTGGGTGCAGTCGAAAACTTATGAAGAAACCGAATTTCTGCTGTACCGCATTTCATAATTCACTTCTATATACAATATAATTTAACAAAATGATTTTTCATTAACACACACACACACACACACACACACACACACACACATACACACGCACACACACACTCACATATGCGCGCGCGCTCCTACGCACGCATGCACACATACACACTTTTGTAATTTTTGTAAATTTTGGTTGTTAAAGTCGAGTAATTTGTTTTTGTTATTTTTGGTTTTTTAAATTAAAAAATGTATGTTTAGATAAGGAAGAGCGGGATTTCCAAACACAGGCATTACTTGCTTAAATGGAGATCCCAGTCAACTATGTCATTCATTTAATTTTTGTGAAGAAAAATAAATTATTTTATTTTATTTATTTATTTATTATTTATAGCAATGAATGCTACCGATTTGCAACATATCATTGATATTGTGATGGCCCATCATTATTACTAATAATTAGTAATTAATTTATATATAAGGGGGTGTAAAAAAATAATTTTAAAAGTTATATATATCTAGGCTGCACTAAAAGTATCGGGAATGGAATATTTCCACTGTTCCTGTCATATTAAAATCTTTTTAATTAAAACTCCTTGGTTTTAAAAATCGAATACCATTTACTTATTTAAAAAAAGATTCTCGGTCTTCTCACAAGGTTTTGTCAAACTTGTTTAGTCATTGAGAAAATGGAATTGACTCGAGAAAATTCAAGAGCGATGATTTATTATGACTCGAAGTGGTTTAACACAAAAACAGTGTGTTGACTGGATGATTTCTGCATTTGGTAATGAAGCCCCATCCAAAACCACAATTTATCG